GAGAATGTCACGGGTCGTTTTATTCATTATGTTAATTGTTCATTTTGCCGTGCACTGTTCGTCATTTAGTCGCGGGAAAAGTATTCTTAATGTCCGCGCATGCGTCGATTATCGTTTGTCTCCGTGGCGTCTGCTATTGTTATTGTATCGGATGGTTCCCGTAACGTACGCTTATGAGCGGAAATTCACGGAAACGGCCGAAAACAATTCAACTATGTCTGTTTCTCGTGCAATTTTGTGAACTGTTTTTGTATGTCCAATCGTTTTGTACGTTGTATGAAAGAGTTTTGAGAGAAAGTTTTAGATTGGTTTTTAACATTTCCTTTCTTCCAAATTCCCGCGAACTTTCCTTCTTCACTTCACTTCGTTTTTATTCTCTTACGAGTTAAGATATACTATTCCACTTAGTACATAAATTCTTTAAGTTTATTTAATAGAATTTTTGGAAATAACTTATTATTAAGTTATTTATTGAGACGCTGTGGCTTTATCTTCGTATTATATATTAAATTGACGAACCTACGCCAGGAGTTCATTATTAATTATACCCTGTGACAAATGTAAATATCGAACCTGATAACCAATGAAAACATTTGTTTTCATTTAAACATATTAGTACACCCCAGGAGACTGTACGCGGTAAACACATACAAAAGCGCTATATCGTAAAAAAATTAAAGGTGTTAGTAAATATTTTGAATACATTTAAATTTAGAAACCACTAGTGGTGATGAATCTATACTTCAACAGACTTTTTACCCGGTTGTGTTTTAATTTAAGTTATTTTGTAATCATATTGAATAGAAAATACAAATTAAAACAAGCATCATCATTTTTTCCAAATTCCTTCGGTACAACTAGAATTGAAGTAGCAAAAAGTTTAATGAAAGAAAGTCATGTAGATCCTTCTGTCCACAGTTGTTAAATTTGTTTTACAACTAGAACAGAACACTGCAGGGTGTCCGTTTGACCCTTGAAATGACACTGACCCTTCAAATTTCCAAAAGGCCAAATTTTGTTAAAATCATGGGGATTTGCCCTTGTAGTTGGTAAAACTTGGTCAAAATGACCCTCAGGATTTCAAGGCTAGTGAACACTCTGAGAACAGGGAAATAATTATTTCACGCGGAGAAAGACGTACAGAAATGAATGACCACTTGCTTTGTCTTTGAATAGTTTTTAAGTTAAGTCAATTCTAGCGCAACACATCACAAGTTGATAGTCCATATGTGATAAAAGTAATGAAATTGAAATCTTGGATGCATTAAATAAAAGAGAAATTTAAAGAATAATTAACTAGCTGTTTTTTGTAAATAAAATACATGTATACAACATGGCTTACAGTCGAGCATCAGAGGAAAAAGACAGATAGTTGTAGTTATTCAGCACTTAAATTGTTTAGGGCATGGCTTCAGTTGAAAGCTTAATTTTGCCTGGCAATCAATATATCGCTGTATCGCCGATAATTCATTACCGATATATAGATACAAAAATCATTATCGATGACACCCCTATAAATCATTCCATAATTTAATTCCAGAGAAAGCAAAGGATTTAGAACCATGAGCTTTGACCTTAGGTAGACAATACCCACCCAGAAACACTGGTATAACTAAACAAAACTGATACCGGGGTATGATATTTATTTCCTTTGCACTGCAATATATCGGTGTACCAGTAAATGTTTACATTCCTTGTTTAAAGATGTGTTAAAATTGTTTTCGGCATAGATTATTTGCTGCGATTGACAAATAGTGAAAGTATAAATATTTGAAGAAATGTTTATAATTTCAGTTTAAAAATCAACCATTGAATTTGAAGAAAACTACTTTTAAAAGAAAAGCAGATAACGATTATGTGCCTCTACAGAATAAACGCTGGAAGGGTGATGAAAACGATGATTTCCTGCAGAACAGCAAAGTTATGGTCACAAGGAGATCTGCAAGAATACACAGAGAGGTAGACTGTTTTGATGCTGATCATTGACCCTTTTGTTAAACAAGGCACTTTACCTCATTAACGCCTAACCTACTAAGTGTAATGGATTTGCCCTGTTTAGAATTTGGGACAGTCCCTTGGAAGTTTAAGGTATTTTAGTATCAAAATACAAAAATAGAGGGGTGTCTGTGGCTCAGTGTTAAGGTTGTTAACTTCAAAGCACTAGCCCCTCACTGCTGTGAGTTGGGGTCTTGCCTGGAACTTGGGTTCTTTAATATGAGGAAGTTATCCAACTAGCTTACAGAGCATCAATGGTTCTACTTTGGTGTCTGTTTGTGCCAGAAATAATGCATGGAGGGGCCTTGAGGATGACTCCCACCAGTATAGCACTTAGTCTACATGGATATGCAGGCTGGCCTTGTTATATAGTCTACATGGATATGCAGGCTGGCCTGGTTATATAGTCTTCATGGATATGTAGGGTGGCCTGGTTATATGCTAAAGGCAAAATCACTTATCACTTTCTCTTCCAACAGGTTAAAGATTAACAAAGTCAAGTCAGAAGTGTCTAGAATATTATAGGAAAGTCTTTGAATGACATTATTTCTAATATAAATGAGTACATAGAGTAAATGCAAATATAGGACCATCATGTTTAAGGCTTGGTAGGTCTTTGTGAAAGTGAAATTGGCTTTGTAAAACCTTTTTGTTTTATGCCCGAAAGGGCATATTATGTTATACCCCCTGGCGTCCGTCTGTCTGTCCGTCCGTCCATCCGTCCGTTAGCAATTTGGTTTCCGGAGCATAACTTAAGTTCCATTTGGCCCACAATGTTCAAACTTCATAGGATGATTGTCCATATTGGGTAGAAGACCCCTATTGATTTTTGGGTCAAAAGGTCAAAGGTCAAGGTCACTATTACCTTAAAACTGAAAACAGTTTCCGGAGCATAACTTAAGTTCCATTCGACCCACAATGTTCAAACTTCATAGGATGATTGTCCATATTGGGTAGAAGACCCCTATTGATTTTGGGGTCACAAGGTCAAAGGTCAAGGTCACTATTACCTCGATACTGAAAACAGTTTCCGGAGCATAACTTAAGTTCCAATTGGCCCACAATGTTCAAACTTCATAGGATGATTGTCCATATTGGGTAGAAGACCCCTATTGATTTTGGGGTCAAAAGGTCAAGGTCACTATTACCTTTAAACTGAAAACAGTTTCCGGAACATAACTTAAGTTCCATTCGATCCACAATGTTCAAACTTCATAGGATGATTGTCCATATTGGGTAGAAGACCCCTATTGATTTTAGGGTCACAAGGTCAAAGGTCAAGGTCACTATTACCTTGATACTGAAAACAGTTTCCCGAGCATAACTTAAGTTCCATTTGACCCACAATGTTCAAACTTCATAGGATGATTGTCCATATTGGGTAGAAGACCCCTATTGATTTTGGGGTCACAAGGTCAAAGGTCAAGGTCACTATTACCTTGATACTGAAAACAGTTTCTGGAGCATAACTTAAGTTCCATTTGGCCCACAATGTTCAAACTTCATAGGATGATTGTCCATATTGGGTAGAAGACCCCTATTGATTTTGGGGTCAAAAGGTCAAGGGTCAAGGTCACTATATCCTTAAAACCAAAAACAGTTTCCGATGCATTACGTAAGTTCCATTTGGCCCACTCTATTCAAACTTCATAGGATGATTGTCTATATTGGGTAGATGACCCCTATTGATTTTGGGGTCACAAGGTCAAAGTCACTTTTACCTATATACTGAAAACAGTTTCTAGAGCATAATTATAGTTCCAATTGGCCCACAATATTCAAACTTCATAGGATGATTGTCCATATAAGGTAGAAGACCCCTATTGATTTTGGGGTCACAAGGTCAAAGGTTAAGGTCATTATTAATAACTTAAGTATTAATCAACCTACAACTGTAAAATTTTTTATAGGATGAACAGCTAATTCCCATGTCTTACAAATGCTTCATCCTTACTAAAAAAAAAAACACTCGGGCATATAATGCTCCGCCTAGCGGTGCTCTTGTTGAATAACTGGGTTACCATTTGATGAAAACCCCAAGTTGTTTTTGGAACCTAGCTGTATAAAAGCCAGTATCACAGTGCAGGGATGGAGTCTACTTTATAGTCAATCTAGGTTCACAAGGATTTGATGCTTGAAATTTTTGGATGCCGATTAAGCAGTCACTATTTTGATACTAGGTTTAAAATACTGTTTAATATTTCTTATAGTATACTATAATAATACTATACAAGGAAAAAATGATAGAAGTTCAATGGTGAACAATTGTATGCTTAAACCACAACATTTAGCATTTGGTCTAATGTGCACTTTGTAAAGTTATACTCTGCTAGAGGCCCGATAAAAAATAACCTGCCTGCTCAGGTGATCACTTTATTAAACTTTTTCTAGAAAATTAAATAAAAATATTTATTTATATAATTATGATAATCATTTAAAAAAAATAGTGACTACTTGAAGAATTTGTATCTCTGAAATTTCCAACAATCTTGTGTGAGTCAGTAGCTTTAGATATTCCTAGTTGTAGTTACATTAGAATTGCAAGAAGAATTTTTTGTTGTTGATATTATTTATTTCTTTCAGAATATTTTGTTTTGTTAAATAAGAGTATAAATTTATATTTAAGTCAAAGGGTGAATTGTCTGAAGTTGATGGCAATAAAGGGTCTGTCTTCCTAACCCTGGACGATGTTGAGAAACCTGCTAGAACGTATGTTCCCAAAAACCGGCCCAATTATTTTGGTGCTGTTCCAGGTATGATCTGAGATTAAGTTATAGAGATACAGTTTTTAAAGTTAATAATGTTTCACAAAGTTATGCCCCTTTATTTCCATGTTCCATCTCTACCAGTCACTTCTGTACATTGTATGTACTACTATGTAATGGGTGACAGAGGTGTGGAATTTTGGATTTTTTCCTCTTGCCCACAGACAGGTTGGACTAAAATTTTTACTTGTCAGCAGCTACAGTTCACTTGTCCAAATAAATAGTAAAAAACAGTTTTTTTATTATTATTTATTTATTTAACCAAACTGGGTCCTTGTTAACTGTTTGCTAAAACTCGTATTTATATATGACACGTTTGGACAACATTTGATGCGATGTAAGAGTGTCCTTTCTTATTAATGATTTCATTACATAAAGGACCGAAGGTTTATCCGCAGTTCGGGGAACATTCTGCTAACATGACAATAAAGTTTGTCTGAATGTTTTATAGAGCTGTTATTGATTCAGTGCAAAGCATATCAACGATATATCGATATCAGATGAATAAAATCAACAATATATCGATAATAACCTATAATTACTTGTCCGTCATTCACTTTCATACCTGTTTAAATGATTTTAGTTAAAAAAACATGTTCTGTACACTGTATTGTCCACTGCATAATTTTTTTCAAGACAATATTTTTTGTCACAATTGCTATGAAATATTTCCACTATATAACAAAAGCACAACATTAGACATAAATAACTGCTACTGTATATTATGTTTTTGGGTGACTTTTTATAATTTCTAGAGACAAAGTACCGATTTTTTTAAATGTGTATCGATTATTGATCAAAAACATATCAAAGATACATCTATATTGTCTCTATCGATGACAGCTCTAATGTTTTATTGTGCCCCCACGTTAGTGGCGGGCATTTAGATTTACCCTTGTCCGTCCGTCTGTCCTTCCGTCCGTCCTTCCGTCCGTCCGTTCACTTTTGTGTCGCACGTAACTCAAAAAGTATTTGACCTAGAGTCATGAAACTTTACAGGAATGTTGATCAGCATGTGTAGTTGTGCACCTGGGTATTTTCGTCAGGATATTTTTAGTATTTTCAGAGTTATTGCCCTTGACTTAGTAAAATTTTGCAATTTTCAACTTGTGTCGCATGTATTTCAAAAAGTATTTGACCTAGAGTCATGAAACTTTACAGGAATGTTGATCAGCATGTTTAGTTGTGCACCTGGGTATTTTCGTGTGGATATTCTTAGTATTTTCATAGTTATTGCCCTTGACTTGGTAAAATTTTGCAATTTTCAACTTGTGTTGCACGTAACTCAAAAAGTATTTGACCTAAGGTCATGAAACTTTACAGGAATGTTGATCAGCATGTGTAGTTATGCACCTGGGTATTTTTGTCTCGATATTTTTAGTATTTTCAGAGTTATTGCCCTGGAGTTAGTAAAATTTGGCAATTTTCAACATGTGTCGCACGTAACTCAAAAAGTATTTGACCTAGAGTCATGTAACTTTACAGGAATATTTATCAGCATGTGCAGTTGTGTACCAGGTATTTTCGTGTGGATATTCTTAGTATTTTTAGAGTTATTGCCCTTCACTTAGAAAATTTTTGCAATTTTCAACTTGTGTCGCAAGTTTCTCAAAAAGGATTTGACATAGTCATTAAACCTTATGGGCAGGTTGCTCAGCATATTTTAGATTTTCACCTGGGGTTTTGCTTGTGGATTTATCCAGTATTTGTAGAGTTATTTCCCTTGACTTAGTAAAAAGATTGACAGAACAGTGGCGCGGTGGGGGCACCCGTGTCCTATGGACACATTTCTAGTTGTTATCTGAGCCAAGTGAAATCAGTTAACTACCTATCTTTTTAACATGAATGTGTTTGTGGTCATATTCTTTGTCTCTCTGCACATTTGATTCACACTTTTCAGATTATTTTCAAACCAAATGAAAAATTTGTCCATTTTGTATCAAAACAATTCATAACGAAACAACGAATACAGTCTAACTTGCCCATGCGACCACGTGTATTAAGCGACTTTTGTCTTAAACGACCACTTTAAATTCCCCCAGATCATTTTCTCTCTATATCTTTAATGTATTAAGCGACTTTTGCTCAACGCGACCAGCGACCGCTAATTAGTCACCTAATTGACATCAATCTTTTCATTAAACGACCACTTTTACCTGTCAAGTAATTGTGCTTTAAGAGAACGCCACCTAGTTATGTCACAAGTGTCAACAATCAAAACACAACAATAAACGTGTGAAAAACTCTATTTCCCATACCGTTTTAGCGTATGCAAATGGAGATAAGTATACACGTGACGTGTATTATCCAATAATATCGGATAAACAAGTCAACGCTCCGCCCATACTGAGATGGTGTATACGCTTCGCTTGTTGACATTTAGACTGCATTGAATTGACCTTGAACTTGATCAGCCATTAAATTAATCGTAACAAATAGATGTAGTTTGTTTATTTCAAATGAAAAAATGCACAACAGAAAACATCTTCACTAATAGGGTTTTCGTTTTGGAGACAAGGAAAAACAACGGAGAAGTTAAAAAATTCTGGAAAAAATGTCAAACATGTACGTAATGGATCAAAACTGTTTTGTCAATAAATATCAGAAAGTTATTTTTTACATTTGCATCCATTTATATTATCGGAGCGTACATATTATTCAACATTTATATAAAAATGAAGTTGAAAAACAATCCCACCGAATAAAAAAGATGTCATTTATAAATTTTGACTTTTATATCATGCTGACTGTGTTAAGAGACCGTTTCATTAAGCGACCGTTTTGGGTGTTTCCCTTGCCCGGTCGCTTAATACACGTTTGACTGTATATAATGCTGCGCATTATTTACTAAGGTCTCGATCGATATGACCAATTGCCAAGCTCGTTTTGCAATAGAAGCGAGAGGCCTAATACGGGGTGAAATAGCATTGTATAGTATCTATTCATTTGTGCTGTTGGAGATGGTGTACAAATAAAATTTAGGCATTTTAAACACTAATTAGACAACATCGGGGAAAAAATTAACATTCCCGGAAAAATTAAAGTTCATGATCGAGTACGTTTAGAATATCGGCATTAAGCTTTTTTCTTGGCTCAGAATATTACAACTGCTAAGTGAAAATCTACTTGTCCTTCAGCAAAAAGTTTCAAGTAGAGCATAGTAATTCCGCCAATTTTCCCTGGGTGAAAATGGTACTTCTTGAAATGAAATTTATGTATAATAATATATATACACATGAACTGTTTTTGCAGGGATAGAAGTAGGAGAGGCATGGCTAACTCGAATGGAATGTAGTAGAGATGGTGTGCATAGGTTAGACATTTGTTACTTTAAATGTTCTTACTTTATAAAGGTTTGCAGATGTAACAATGTGACATGTTAGGTAAATTATAAGTTATTCTTTTGATAAGATAGCTTCATAGAGACCTCACCATAGATAAGTAATACCGTTCAGTCAGAATATTTCCTGTTTGGTCAGGACAAAAAGTTCCATTCTGTCGGAATTCATAGTAAACATAAATAAAATGATTGTAAAGTGATTAAAAAAAGATAAAATGAAGGAATCTCAGCCAAAGTCGGGGGTGGGGGATAGATGACATGTGAAATTTCAGATGGCATTATATAAAGATTAAACATCTCTTAATACTTAATCTATTAAACACAAAATTGTTAAAATGTTTTGTTTAACAAAAGCGAGTCAAAACTGTTTCCAAAATATTTGAGATTAAAAATAAAAATAACAACTGCCACAAAACATTCATTATGTGACAATCATTCAGTGATTTTTTTCACTGTATTTTACAGCCGAATAAAGGCTGTTTCCTCTAGCCAAAAATACGTATATTTTCCCCTAAAAATGCTTATATTTCCCCCTAAAATGCCTTGTGCTCTTCCTTACCAGAACCATTGGCTCTGCCCGGAAGGGAAGGGTGGGGGGGTCATTGATTTTTCGTATATGCATATTGTAAAAACAAAATCTACTTTTTAAACAAACCAAATTAACAAGAATTCTGACTCAGATGAGCGATTTAGGGAAATCATGGCCCTATTGTATGGAAAATCAGTGGTTTTACTCTGGTGCCTAATTGTGCCTGAAATAATACATGGACAGGTGTTAATGGTCTTACCCACATGAAAAGTTGCCTTATGCCCATAACACTGTTTGCATAAAACCCAACCAAATTGTTAAAAAGAAAGTCAAATTATCATGGGCAAACAACAGTAACAATAACAAAAAGAACAGACAACAAATGAAACTTATGTATTTCGCATTGATTCAGCAGTATTGTATAAATTGTGTCAGTTAGAATTATGTAAATATTCTAACAGTACAACACTTTACATTTTAAGACCAACAGTAGCAGGAATTCATGGGGGCACAGAGGGAGCTTACTCTATAGCATTATCGGGCAGATATGATGACAATGTGGATTATGGTAACTGCTTTACATACACAGGAGAAGGTAAGACCTCATCATGTGAAGGAGTTTCTAGGCAGCCCAAAACATTGAACAGTTTTAACTTGTAGATAGATTTCTAGATTGGGTTTTAAAAGAACCATAAATATGCTCAGCCCTGTTTTTGAATTCTCCCCCCTTTTAGAAAAATCTTGTCTGACACATAACTTGATATAATTGTCAGAGATATCAACATGAAACTTTGTAGGTAGATAGATCTCAATGAGTAGATATGAAGTGCATAAGAACTGTAACTCTGCTTTGACAAATTTTGGTGTTATTGCCCTTTAGATATTTTTACACTTTGAGTTATTGCCCTTTAATTATTTTTACACTTTGAACTTTGTCCAGGATATTACTCAAAAATGATCAGAGATATCAACATGAAACTTTGTAGGTCGATAGATCTCATTGAGTAGAAGTGCATTGCAAAATAACCATAACTCTGGTTAGCCTTGTAGTTGAATTAGAAAAATCTTGCCTGAGACATAACTCGATATTTATAAGAGATTTCAACATGAAACTTTGTAGGTAGATAGATCTCAATAGGTAGATGTGAAGTGCACAAGAAACTTAACTCTGCCTTGCCTTATTTTGGAGTTATTGCCCTTTGTTATGCCCCCACAGAGTGGGAGCATATAGCGTTGCACTTGTCCGTCCGTCCGTCACGCCGTACGTCTGTCAGTCCCCGTCGTTCCGTCGTCCGTACGTCCTAAATCTTGTGAACGCAACTCCTCTTAAACCAGATGGCAGATTTTGGCTTAAACTTTCAGGGATGAACAACCTTAATATGTAGATGGTAGTAAAGGAAGGAATTTTTGTGGCGACCAAATTTAACAGAATTATGGCCCTTTGTTATTTTTTCACTATATACTATGTAGAAATTTTGTGAACGCAACTCCTCTTAAACCAGATGGGCAGATTTGCTTAAAACTTCCAGGGATATGAAAACCTTAATTGTGTAGATTGATAGTAAAGAAAGGAATTTTGCTGCGACCAAATTTAACAGAATAATGGTCCTTTGTTGATTTTTCACTATATACCATATAGAAATTTTGTGAACGCAACTCCTCTTAAAACCGGATGGCAGATTTTGCTTAAATTTTCCAGGGATGAAAACCTTAATATGTAGATGGTAGCTAAAAGGAAGGAATTTTTCGCTGCGACCAAATTTAACAGAATTATTGCCCTTTGTTGATTTTTTCACTATATATATACTATGTAGAAATTTTGTGAACGCAACTCCTCTTAAACCAGATGGCAGATTTTGCTTTAACTTAAAATTTCCAGGGATGAACAACCCTTTATGTGTAGATGGTAGTAAAGGAAGGAATTTTTTGCTGCGACCAAATGTAACAGAATTATGGCCCTTTTTGATTTTTCACTATATACCATATTAGAAATTTTGTGAACGCAACTCCTCTTAAACGGATGGTAGATTTTGCTTAAACTTCAGGGATGAAAAACCTTAATGTGTAGATGGTAGTAAAGGAAGGAATTTTTTGCTGCGACCAAATTATCAGGAATTATGGCCCTTTGTTGATTTTTTTTCACTATATACCCATATGTATGTTGTCAGTGGGGGCATCCGTGTCCTTTGGACACAGTTCTAGTTCATTCTTACATTTTAAACTTTGTAAGGGACATAACTCGGAAACCATAACAGGCATCAACAAGAAACTTTGTAGGTAGATAGATCTCATTTATTAGAAGTCCAGTGCAGAGAAAAGTTACTCTGCCTGCCTTATTCTGGAATTATTGCACTTTGAACTTTGTCCAGGATTATAACTCTGAAACTTCAAGAGGTGTACTTTCCTATGTCAAAAACCTATTCGGGGAGTATCACCTGGTTCAAACCGGGCTCTTGTTTTTGAAGTGGTAAACTCTTAATCAGCTGTATTGGTGAAAACTTAATCAATTGTTGGATTTAGTCATTTAAATACTCTAGTCTATTATTATCATATATGTATAACTGTAATAACCCCACAGGTATAACAATTCAAAACACATCAGTTATATAGGACATGGTTTATTGCATACAATGTACAATTATTGATTAAATGAAACTTATTTAATTTTTTATACTTTGAAAAACATAATCAATCATATATTACTCAAACTGAATTCAAGTAATTTCTCATACATACGGAGAATTTTACCTATTTATATAAAATGGTATGATACTGGGATGGTGCAGGAAGAGACTAGGATACAAAATGGCCGTAGCCATGATTCTCACTGGCCATCTTCTGCAGTGTGTTGGTTACTTGGGGATTAAATTGGTGGCCGTCGGCAGCTTTAAGCAGGTGGCCATCTTATAAGAGACAAATATATAGTAATTTATTTTGGGGATGTTAAAATGTGGTGCACTTAGGGAGCTAGAGAGCTTGTAAAGATGGTAGATTGAGCAGTTTTGACCGTGTTAGAATAATGGTGACCATTATGTAATAATGATGTTTGAATAGTAAACTTTTGTTTATGGCTTGCTTCTTAGCTAACTTGAGCACAATTACAGAACATATCTAACACATGGTAGCATTCTAATGAAACTTCATAGAAATGTTCACCACTTTGAGAAGCAGTGTCATTTGCATGAACCAGGTCTCTAGGTTAAATGTTAAGGTCACACTTACAGGTAATTGAAAAATGTTTGTGCGGAGCCAAACTTCTACATCCATGGGGGAATTTTAATGTAACTTGACACAAATGTTCACCATTGTGAGGCGAAGTATTGTGCACATAATCCAGGTTCCTGCTACTAAAGTCAAGATCACATAGAGAGGTCAAAGTTAAGATAAAACAGAAAATGTGTACAGGGACCATTTAGTCATCATATATTTATGGATTGTAGCACAAATGATAACTATCATGACTACAAGTGTGACACATGTAATTTAGGTTAATATTTACAAGGTCAAGGTCACTAGAGATGATAAAATATCCAGATATTGTCTGGATATTGCCCAGAGCATATCTCCTATATAATATGCATATCTATAATGCCCACATCTCTGTCAAAAGCTTTTGTGACTGGCTTATTTTGCTACAATGTTGCCCTTGTTGAAGAATAGTAAGAGCTGTTGTACTTCCCTGGGCATCAGTGTCAAACTTTGGTTAAGTTTTTGCTTGCAAGTTGGTATCTCCAAAACTACTGAAGACAATGAGTTGAAACTTATTACACTTAATTGAAAGCATCATAGAAAGTCACTCTCCAATAACTTAATAAACATTGATTTTGACAGAATTATGGCCTTTTTAAACTTATTTGACGTTGTCCACACTCTTATATTACTGTCAAGCACTAAGAATAGTTGTGCATGCTATCCTACTGACATTGTTTGTTTCTTTTATGTGTAATGTGAGTTTAAACCTTGTTTTATAATGATAAATCTTAAACAATTCTCAGTATACACCTAATCTTAATATGAAGTATAATGGAGTAGGACTTGCATTGTTCTTTACAAAGTTGCTATCTAGTTAGGTTTATTCATTGATGCATTCAAAGCTTTTTTGTCTTCTTTTTTTCAGGAGGGCGTGATCTTAAAGGAACCAAATCAAATCCAAAGGTTTGTAAATTATTCAAGTGTATAAAAATTGGGAAAAACTCGCACTGTATTACATAAAATCAAATCCTTTTATATTTCTTTTATAAGCAAAATTTGAATGCAAAAATCAAATATTTATTATGGCTCAGTGTAGTTAAGAGGACACAAAATGGTGAAAAGGTTTCTTTACCTTCTGTTTGTTTGATTATTTCCTTGAATTGGGAATTTTCTCCTTTGCAGTTGGGAGAGAGGGATACACTTTTTATGAGCCCAAATAAAGTTTGGGATATATTATGTAATGGTGTTGTCTATCCATCTGTCCTGAGATAGCATTCAAGAACTAAGAAATATATATGTATTAAATGGACCCTAGTAAGATAAATTACATTGAAGACATGTATGAAGCTCTAATTATGCCCCATTTCCACTGACATAAGATACGGTCTGATGTAAAGTAAAGCATGCACTTCTATTTTTCAGAATTTACGAGAAGCACCACAAACAAAAGACCAGGAATTATCTAGAGGTAACTTCGCTCTTAAAACAAGTGTTGATACTGGAAATCCAGTGAGGGTGATAAGAGGTTACCAGCTGAAGAATGCATTTTCCCCAGAGGAGGGCTATAGATATGATGGTAAAAACATTGTTTTTGAAAGTTTTATATATAGATGTACTGAAACTTAATTATTAAAGTTCCTTTTCAGAGATGTTACTATTATCTCTAGTCTTTCACTGCTGTGGGTTTGACTCCTGCCACATTTAAACATATATCCAAGTGACAGAGGAAGATATATATAAAGTTAGGTTACAGAAAGTTGATGGTTCTACTTGGTGCAGCAGGCTTGTGCCAGAGATTATTTTTAAAATAGAAATTTTTGCTCCACAATTAAAGCTGGAAAATGAATGTTGGTAAAAAAGTTGTTCGCCACTTGCATAGACTCATGATATGAGCATATACTCACTGTTTCACCAAGGAATTGTTCCAGCACTTTTAAGTGTTGAGAATTGAGTACCGCTCAAGCCGGTGCTAGGGGGTGTAAGGGATGTTGTACTTTTTAGCTCGACTTTTCTAGAAAAGGGGAGCTATCCTACTCGCCCCGGCGTCGGCGTCGTTAGCGTTAGCGTTGGCGTCACACCTTGGTTAAGTTTTTCGTACCACCCCACTTTATTTCAGAAGTATTACAAGTATGGCTTTGAAACTTACCATACTTGTTCACCATCATAACCTCCATCTACAGACAAGAGTACATAACTCTGTCAAGGTTTTTGACAGAATTATGGCCCTTTTTTTGACTTAGAAAGTGTATTGAGCTTGGTTAAGTTTTTTGTACCACCTCACTTTATTTCAAAACCATTGGAGGTATTGCTTTGAAACTGACCATACTTGTTTACCATCACGACCTTCATCAACAGACAAGAGGACATAACTCTGTCAAGGTTTTTGACAGAATTATGCCCCTTTTTACTTAGAAAATACATTGAATATGGGTAAAATCCACTTATTGCCTTAACCCTTTGAGATATTGCTTTGAAACTTTTAATGCTATTTCACATCATTACCCCCATCTGTACGCAAGAGAAGGTAACTCTGTCAAGGATTTGTTTTAAAAATTAAGGCCTTTTATCGACTTAGAATCTTGGTTAAGTTTTTAGTACCAGTCCACTTTTTGACTGAACTGTTTGAGATATTAATTTGAAAGTTGGAATACTTGTTTACCATCATGGTCCCAAAACATGGGCAGGAGAAGGTAATTCTGTTAAGGATTTTATTTGAATTATGGCCCTTTTTGACTTAGAAACTCAGTTAAGATTTTCATTCTTGTCCACTTGTTGACTTAACCATTTGAGATATTACTTTGGAAGTTGGAGTTCTTATGTGCCATCATGAGACCTATCTGTAAGCAAGAGAAGATAACTCTGTGAAAATGTTTCTTGATTTGTACTTAGAAATTCCTAGTTAAAGTCTTGTGTGCCCTTAACTGTCAAAGTTTTGTTTTATAGGCAAGCACTAAAAAAGTCGAGCGCGCTGTCCTTCTGACAGCTCTTGTTCATTATCTCTCGTGTACAGACTCAATCAAACCTGTACATACTCAATCAAACCGAGTCTGATATTTTCATGTAATTTTGCTGTTTTTAATGCTTCCGAAGGATCACTTTTTAGCTCACCTGTCACTATGTGACAGAGTGATCTTTTGTGATCGCTTTTCGTCCGGCGTCCGTCTGTCTGTCCGTCCGTCTGGCGTCCGTAAACTTTTACTTTAAATGACATCAGCTCATAAACCACTAAGCCAATTTCATCCAAACCTCACAGGATTGTTCCTTTGGTGGTCACCTTTGAAAATTGTTCAAAGAATTTAATTCCATGCAGAACTCTGGTTGCTATGGCAACCAAAAGAAAAAACTTTAAATTTCTTCTTCTAAAAAACCCAAAGAGCTAGAGCTTAGATATTTGGCATGAAACATCTTCTAGTGAGTGTCTACCATGTTTGTTCAAATAAAAACCCTGGGGTCAAAATTGGCCCTGTCCCAGGGGGTCATTGATTTTCCCTTTATGTATATAGTAAAAACTTAAAAAATCTTCTTTTAAAGAACCCAAAGAGCTAAAGCTAAGATATTTAGCATGAAACATCTTCTAATGGGTGTCTACCAAGTTTGTTCAAATAAAAGCCCTGGGGTCAAAATTGGCCCCGCCCCAGGGGGTCATTGATTTTTCCTATATGCATATAGTAAAAACTTAAAAATCTTCTTTTAAAGAACCCAAAGAGCTAGAGCTAAGATATTTAGGATGAAACATGTTCTAATGGATGTCTACCAAGTTTGTTCAAATAAGAGCCCTTGGGTCAAAATTGGCCCCGCCCCAGGGGACATTGATTTTCCTTATACTGTATGTGTACAGCAAAAACTTAAAAATCGTCTTCGAAAAAACCCGAATAGCTAGAGTTTAGATATTATTTAAGCATGAAACATCTTCTAGTTAGTGTCTACAAAGATTGTTCAAATAAAAGCCCTGGGGTCAAAACTGGCCCTGCCCCAGGGGTGTAATTGTTTTTAAATATATGTGTAAAGAAAAAACTTAAAAAATCTTCTTCTAAAAAACCCAAAGAGCTAGAGCTTAGATATTTGGCATGAAACATCTTCTAGTGAGTGTCTACCAAGTTTGTTCAAATGAAAGCCCTGGGGTCAAAATTGGCCCCGCCCCAGGGGGTCATTGATTTTCCCTATATGTATATAGTAAAAACTTAAAAAATCTTCTTTTAAAGAACCGAAAGAGCTAGAGCTAAGATATTTAGCATGAAACATCTTCCAATGGGTGTCTACCAAGTTTGTTCAAATAAAAGTCCTGGGGTCAAAATTGGCCCCGCCCCAGGGGGTCATTGATTTTTCCTATATGCATATAGTAAAAACTTAAAAATCTTCTTTTAAAGAACCCAAAGAGCTAGAGCTAAGATATTTAGGATGAAACATGTTCTAATGGATGTCTACCAAGTTTGTTCAAATAAGAGCCCTTGGGTCAAAATTGGCCCCGCCCCAGGGGACATTGATTTTCCTTATATGTGTATAGCAAGGGGACATTGATTTTCCTTATATGTGTATAGCAAAAACTTAAAAATCTTCTTTGAAAAAACACGAATAGCTAGAGTTAAGATATTAAGCATGAAAATCTTCTAGTAAGTGTCTACAAAGATTGTTCAAATAAAAGCCCTGGGGTCAAAACTGGCCCTGCCCCAGGGGTGTAATTGTTTTTAAAGAAAAAACTTAAAAAATCTTTTTTTTAAAAACCCAATGAGCTAGACCATAGATGTTTAGCATGAAACATTTTCTAATGGGTGTCTACCAAGTTTGTTCAAATAAAAGCCCTGGAGTTTAAACTGGCCCCGCTCGGTGGGGCCTATATACAGGTGAGCGACTTCAGGGCCATCATGGCCCTCTTGTTTACTAGATATTAATGGATTCAAAAAAAGTAAAGGGATTTAAAAGCACAGGAGGTCACTTCATAATCAGTTTATGTTTTATATATGGTTTTGACAGGAATAATTAGTTTAAAATCTGAACATTGTTGTATATTAATTGTAGGTTTATATACAGTAAAGAAAGCATGGTATAGTGTAGGAATGTCGGGATTTCAAGTTTGGCGGTTTGCCTTACAAAGATGTGAGGGTCAGGCACCACCACCGTGGGAAATGGAGGCCGAGGAGGAAAATGATGAACCAAAAGCTTCATCATGAATGTTTTAAACTGAAGTTTTTATACACAGACAGCAACATTTTAATCTGCCTTCTAATCAGATATTAGAAATGTTTATATAAAAATGGTCACATAAAAGGTCCATAGTTTTATATTTTATATGACATAAATGTGCTAATTTTCAATGTGAAAATTAATTTTGTGCAAGATATGATTCATACTGTTTATGTAGGAGATGAATTGTGTTAAATGATAGTGGTTGTGTAGTGTACATGTAGATAAAATATTGTGATTTTTAACCAGGTTTTCCGAAGGAAAAAAACTGGTTATTAGATTGAGGTATGTCGACGGGCGGGCGGGCGTAAACAATTTCTTCTGTGCGCAACTCCTCCTTTT